ATGAAAATACTGGCAGGTGTTGATAAAAATAAGTATAATCAGGTAAAACAAACCTCAGATGAAACTGAAAGTCCAAGTGGCTATAATGGCTGGAGTATCTTCAGTGGATGGGAAGCTGGAACAAAATTTATAAAATTCATCCTCCAAAATGGTTCATTAGATCAATGGGGTATGAAAAAATACTTTGGAGTTAGGCAGATTGTAGTATTAGGAATCACATTATGATGACCCAATTTGAATTACGTATTATAGAACAGGTAGCCCTAACCTGCTTGTTGCCTTTCTGTAGGGGTATGAATGACTTAAATTTGGCATTTTTATTAGATCCATTTCAGTGCATTAATCAGCTCCTTAACTACTAATGTTGCCATATGATAGTTTAAGTTTATTTAAGATTAAGACCAATGGCTTATTTCTTAAATGCCTTTGGTGGATGTTCTAATGTATATCAAACCACCCCATATTTATGTATATCATCTAATGTTTATCAAACCATTCAGGACTATTCATAAGCCTACACACTAAAAATGAAGGGCAGTGTAAGACTCAATTTCTTCAAGGCTGATAATATCTTCCTCATCAGGATAAAAATGTTGGCATATTCATTTCCTCCTGTCAACCTGTTATTATCTAAACAGTAAAAAGTTAGGAATTCCATTGTGCACCAGTATGTATTAGGTCTAGTCAAGGCCATTGAGAGCCAACCTAGGCCAAGTGGGAAGGCACAATGCTTGGGCCCCTTTCTAACTAAAGCAATAGACCTAATTAACATTGAATAAAGATTTAGAATGAAAAAAATTCTTTATTTACCTTTAAACTCTTATTCGTAAACATGGTGAAACTTCCCCTAACAGATATTAACTTTTTCTTTAAAATGACTCATGCTTTAATCAGGGATAATTACCAGCAGGCCCCTCTTTCCTTTGGGGCCCCCTTCCCTTTGGGCCCCCTTCTTGTTTTCCCTAGGTTTAGTGTATCTGCTCTGATTTCTAAAAGAACATGTCAACAAGTGTAAGAGTAGAAGACATTTATTTTCATTTATTAATGATATTCTAATCACATTAGACCCCTATTCTTAACATCCATTCTTCGGGCTTTTTTTATACCTGTGTCACTTTTAATCTTTTTTAATAAGCTTGTTGGTTAAGAATATATATTGATAATTGTTTGATTATTGTTGTTTGACTAACTATTCTTGTGCCAGTACTTATATTTAGTTATAAATCAAGACAGTACATGATGCTTTCATGTTTTTAATTTGCTTAAGCTGAACTCACACTGGACGCGTCACGGCGCGGCGTGTCACTGAGCGTCATCGAGCGTCGCGTCATGTACTTCTTCATGCTATTCACACACGATGCGTCATGGAGCGGCGTGTTTTCTGTTTTCCAATGCTGTTCACAGCAAACTTGCAAAATTCTTGACAAGTTGTACTGTATTCCTTGCATTGCAAAATCAAGCTGGACATTTAAGTTTGCTACAGAAACGGATGAAACGGTAATCTGAAGCTGTCATTATTCTCTAGGTTTTCTATTGTTCTGAAGCGTCACCGAGCGTCAAAGTTAAATTTATTTAACTTTGACGCTCGGTGACGCGTGGCTGAAAAAACGCGCTGCGTGCGCATAGCTGCCGAAAATGCTAACCATATTTGGTCAGCGTCATGACGCGCCGCGCCGTGACGCGTCCAGTGTGAATTCTGCTTTACTCTTAGAAGTAGTGCACGATTGACGACAGAGACTGGTAGAATTGCAGTGGCGTAATGCACGGTGTGCCCCTTTTAAGCATAGAACTAAGGGCCCAAAGGCATTTGGGGTTTTTGATAAGGAAAAAACGGGGTTTTTGATAAAAGCATATGTTTCTTTAATGGCATTCACAGAATCATTGAAATGTGCTTAAGACTGGATATGATTTGATTTGTGAGCAACCATATAATGATAATGTATATGTTGTTTTATGTTATTTCTTTTCGTTTTACAGGACAACCACAAAGAGTGAGTACTTAGGCTCTAATTTAGTGAACTATAGGGACCCCAAAACACTACTTTTAATAAAATCACCACAATTGTCAATTAGTCTCCGACCTCCCTAATTTTTGGAGGCTGGCGCCGCCTTTGCATGTATCCTATTCCTTTGTCATAAAGTACTTAAGTGTGACATCTTATGACATCGAATTCAAAAGCTATGTTTTTCGAAGGCTTTTCTTTTGAAATGTGTTCGGTTGACCTTTGAATTCTTGGGGATACGAGCTGAAACGGCTATTGTCTTTCCTTTTGTTTGTCGCTCAAAGTTTAAATCCAATCAGAGAAAAGTGTATTAATAGAGCATGCGCAGTTGCTTCCATTTTGCCGCGAAATACTGGTTTCATATCTCGCTCTCGCAGCTTCGCTTGCTTGGATAAAACTGGAGTTCCACGATGTTTTATCGTTCTATTGTTGTTTATAAAGTACCTTTCTTGTAGAGGCCTAGATGGAGTGGCCCTCTAAGCAAAATTAGGCTACAGCACACAGGAAATTAGTCTTGTGTTTGTAGCTGGATTTATTATGAACCGAAGGAATTATCATGGCGGGATTCCTGGTGCAGAATTGTTCCGTTATGTTTATCTATCAAGAAGTCTTGTTATAGTGAGGACTGTGAATCAAATAATAAAATGGACATCGGGTATTATCACTGTAAATTTGAAAACTATGTTGGCTTTACACAATCTTGAACGGAAAAATATTTTACGTCTGGGCCTAACAACATAAATGAAATTGCATCATTGAGCAGAGCTTCAATGTCAACCAAAGCTTTGATATTAATATTTTCGGTTATCTAAGCCCAATTACGACCAACAAATCCGTAGGAAACTAGATAACGCATGGGCTCCGACGCTGGTTGGAAAGTTCGGGGGGGCAAGGGGGATTTTCACAAGCGGAGTTATCCAGATTTACCCCCACTCCCATAAGTCTTTGATTGTAAAGAAAAGCAAAGTATTCACACTCTCCATTTCTAGATTTATCCCCCCCTTATTTCTGTCACTGGCGCACAAATTAGCAGTTTTGGTTTATTATCTAAACTCTAAAATAATTTAAAATTTGCATAGTGTTCTTGGTTGTTTGAAACATGCTAATTTAAAACAACTGGCAAGGAAAATGAGAAACAACTCATTAAAACATATCATAGACTGGTCTAAATGGAGTCATATTTTTGATAAGGTTATTTGTGACTTCCAAAAAAGGAAGTGGTACTGTGACAATAAGATTATCAGAATTCTGAAACTATGTCTTCCTCATCCTAAGAAATCCCTTTGCCTGTCTTAACTAATGACCCCATAGAATAAACAAGTTTTCGGTGGGTTTTTGGTTAGCTTGCATGTCACTGAACAGAACAGTGAAAGATTACTTTAGTTATCAAAATGGGAAACTTAAGGGTGGACAGACCACTTTGAGGTGTTCACAGTTAAACAAACATCCCCTTTAAATCATGCCCACACATCTGCAAAAATGAGAAATGGTCAATCAGATAACTCCAGTGAATGCCATATGTTCTTGATTTATGAGGGAAAGTGAAGGAAAATTCAAGTAATAGAAACATAATTTATTAGTTCTTATGAGGTAACCTATAGCATTTTAAGCACTAGCTTTTGACTGCTGAACTTATAAAAATTGCTTACTTTACTTAAAACATGCAGCTTTTCTAAATAGCAGAGAGAGTGACAGACTTCCTCCTCTATTCTTTCTCTGCATTAAAATGAAGAGCCTTCTGTCTTTCATACTTTGAACTGGAGTTACAGTTTTGGTGAACAAATTCATATTGGGGGGAGGGGTGCTGCCCGTAGTGTTACTTCCCATTCAGCAAATAGTTCTAAAGGAAATGTAGTAGAGTATTATTGAAAATACACTACTTGCACAAACTGTAGTTATGATGCAGTCCATGCTGTAGTTATAAAAGAATGTTATACAGTGATGAATGATCAATGTTGAATAAAATTATTTATAGGTCGGAAAAGAATGCATTGAATCAACAAAATCAAAATATACACTGCTGTTGGAAATCAAATTAATTATAAATACTTTGACCAATGCAAAATATATCCTGACAGTTGTGGACATGCATCCCATGGTAACTTTCTAAGTTCATCCCATGTTTTTACATTGATACAGCAAAATATTTTTCTGAAATTTTGCCAAATACCTACTTTGTACTTGGTGCAATCAGCAATCAACTAGGGTTTCCCTTTTATTACAAATAAGAAACATTGCCTTCCTTTATGGACATACTTTGCAAAAAAACTAGTAACCAAATTGATGTTTCCTTTAAACAAATTGTAAGAACTTGCCATTGGCATAAGACCTTTGCTTCTTGACATGAGGAGTTTATTTAGAAAAAGACATAAGCAACAATTTTGTGCAACAACTCCAAATAATCCTGCCTAATATAAAAAATTTATTTGGTTATTAGCTGTATGTGGGACTCAGGGTCCTTTAAAGCACAAAAATTAAATTATTTTAATCTGGATACCGTGTTTACAAAGATTCTTGCTCCTATGCAATTTGCAGCAAAGCAGTTGTTTCAAACAAATAAAAATATATAAAGGAGAAGGGACATTATCATCAGAATTTGAAGTGCGAGATTTCCAAGACAACAAACGGATTTCCAGGGGCTTTCAAAAACAAAACATTGTGATTTTCAACAAAAGGTGCATCCGATTTCCACGGAGTGATTTTTTCCTCGTGGTAATTTGCGATTCTGGTTGTTACGCGTAGCTGCGATACCGGCCTAATGCAGACTGACAGCATCCTGGCATAGAGAACAATTGTAAGAGTGTATGGTCAATTGAAACTTTTTTCTCTTGCTCGTCTGTTGAATATTGATGCCTAACTCGCTTAGAATCGCCCCTCGGTTCACTTTGCGTTGAGATCAAACTTTCCCTCCAAAACGCTGGCATTCCCGAACCTTACTGCGCATGTTCCATCAATACATTTTTCAAAAGTCTCGTTTGCATTTTAAACTTTGGCCGTTCGTATCCCCAACAAGAAATGGTTTTCTGCAACATGATCTATTTGTATTAACAGATAACTTAATTAGTAGATATAGTAATTCGTTGTACGCAAAATCACTGCCACAAGATTTTATGCTCCGGAAAATGTATTTCAGCCTATTATAAAACCTTTTTAAATTGCCTTTGCAGTGTTGTTTTTAATTTGATTCATTTGATCTGGATTTGATTTAAGTTAATTCGCCACATAGTCAACTGTCAATATATAAGTAACAGAGCACAAAAATAAGATTACACATTGCTGTTCACTCTAGTTGATGCTCTTAACAATTAAAAAGCAGTTTTTGTAACCAGCACTGTCGCGCTTTGAGGTTTCTATCAAAAAATTACGAGATTCGCTACATCGCAGTTCTTTTGCAAACAAGCTATACGTTTACTGATAGTAAACCTTCTTTTCAGTTAATCGAAAATATCGACAGATTTTACTGAGAAAGTTGTCTTGGCTTCTTTAATGCGCTCGAGTTTATGATGATCTCACGCTGAAATGCTAAATCATGGCGGAGATGATTTCCGAAGTCATGTTTATCCTTTATCTGTCAAACTAGGCCAAGGTTAACAATCTTCTCCTAAATACCTGTCTTGGCCTATCCCACCAGTTAAATCATATTTGTGGTAGATGCTAGTTGCCAGCAGAGATGGCTTAGTTAGCTTGAGTTCTGATATTAAGAGAAACACAACATGTTTGATTTTATATTTTGAAAAATCTGATCAGATGTCGCTAATTCATTACTAAGCTACAGGTGAGCCATTATTATGACATTGCTCGTTGTAAGCCGCATTGGAAAGACCCGGCCTAAGTGATCTCTTGATCTGCGAGCATTTTTCACGAACATTAAGATATACAACGGAAATTGTTCACATATTCACCATGGACATCCTTAATGTTTCGCTAATGTTACATCTTAAAAAATCTATGCTTTCAAGAATGTTCCTTTTCTAAATTTAAATTTATCATAAAAAGAATGTTGAGATGTTGTTCATAAAGAATGTCTTTCAGGAGAAGGTGTTTATAAGATTTCAGTGGGAGGGTATCACTAAATGATATCTTTTAAATGATGGAGAAAGCATACTTAGCAGTAAAAGATAATAGCGAAAATTGTGCAGGCCAAAGTATTTATCATCATAGATGACCATTATTTACATGGCATAATTCTTATATGGGCCTTTTTATCCGAATGCTTCCAACGTATTATATCTCAGAGAGTTGTAGTTTTTGAATGAACTTTCATCGTTGGCAAACTGGTATTGTACTTTAGTTACACTATCAACTTTTATCTGACTGCAATTAATGAGATATCAAAAACAAACACGATATCTAATGTTGCATTATTTGCGCAGAAGATTGCTATAACAAAAAGTCAAAACCTTTTGCCTTGGAAAGAAATGCTGCAATTTGAGAATCTGATCGTCTTCAAGTCCTGAATCATCATTGGACACGGGAAAGAGATGCAAGGACGCCGTAAACATGAATTGCAGCTTCGCCTTCTGTTCAAGCAAACACTGATCGCCCTTCTCATGGTAAGATTTACAACAAACCATTTTTTTTCATACAAACATATTGCTTGAATAAAGAGAACTGTTAACCTTTATATATACTCATTCAATTCCCTGTATTAATCCTTTCTGCATACTGACGTAAAAGCAGCCATAGGATTTAGGACAGAGTCGTTGCTCACAAAGCCAAAATGCTACCTATGTTGTTAGATAGTTTTATCATCAATATTCCATAAGATATTTTGGGCCTCGACTTTGGTCTAAGTTAGGTATGTGTGACAGGAAAGATCCTAGTTTAGATTCTTTCCCTACGTTTGAGAAAGTCAGACCTAACGAGCATAGTTACCGATAACGGCAATGGATAATGCAAGTATTGTAAAGAATAACTGATGTTTCTTTGATGTATGATTAGATTTTTTTAGTCTATTTAACTCATTGCATAATTGAAATAGTAAATAGGCTAAATAGTGTCCCCAATTAGTATCATTGCTAAAGATGTATGACAGCTATTATAAGACTATAGTAATAGAAATAATGATAAAAATCAACAATTTTGTTCAAACTGTCGTATTATTCATTTGCTAACGTTTTCTATCTCAATTTATAGATTAAGTTCCCTCCTACAAATACCGCATCAGAGTCCAGCGATGTTGAAAAAGGTAACAAGATCACTCTTATTTCAAAGCCTCATTGTCTTTGCAGTAATTTCTAATAACTTGAATTTTATGTCCTTTTTATCTTTAGAAAAGATGTGATTAATCCACATGCCTTGTTAAAGCTCTTTTTCTCTGCAAACCACATTTGGGTTTATGGACAATTTTTGGCCTTCAAATTGAAGACTTTGATATTTCTAAGCTGATGTAGTTGCAAAATAGGAGCATAATTTCCTCAATAAAGAAGCAAAGAAAACATCCGCATTAGTTAGAATAGCTGCTAACCATATTGAGAATTCCAACTGGACCATTAATTTTTCTAACCTTATTTATTACCTATGCTTGAACCGTCATCATTCATAAATATAACAGTAAGACCAAACAGACTTCTTGCCAGAGAATTAGCTTATCTGAGAGATCCAAAGCACAGAGCAAAGTTATCCTTTCTGTTTTTCGACACAGTTTTCAACCTTCTTTGTCTGATACGTATCAATCATGTAATGAAAGCCTTTCATAGGTATGCTGGTGATGTAACATTTCAATAAGTTAGCTATCGTTAATAGTTTGAATAACGATCAATGTAAGTAAATTGTACCAGGAAAATTTATTTAGAATAATTAACGACGTTTCGAGCATAGCCCGTTATCAAGTGACATGTTAATAGTTTGACATGGTTAAGGAAAGTTTTGAAAAGAAAGCTTGAAAATGTAAAATGTATTAAAATGTATAAAGGCTGGTTTCACCCTTTATTAGAATGAGTCATTATCTCTTTCAGATTTAGAAATCATATATCCTTCTTTAACACACATGAAAAGTGGAGCCAGTCAGCATGCCATCCAACCAAGCCTTTTAGAACAATTTACGATCCACTTTCGTGCATTTAACAAGACATTCAATGCGAGGATGAATACTGTTAATAACTTCATAGCACCAAGGACTGTCTGGAGCATGACTGGGACCAACGCAAATTCATTAAAACCTGAACATCCAATTGTTGGATTTTACAAAGGAAAGCTAACAGACGACGCAAAATCTTTTGTGTCCTTGTCAAAAGGCAATGGAATGGTAAAAAATCCTTTGATAAACATATAGTTTCTGCTTTAGTTTCATTCACCAATGAAACAGCATGTTTCTTCCAACATCAGAAACAACGAAACATTTTTCAGTAAAAATAAATCTCTTCAGTCCAAATTGGTTCTAAGAGAGTATTGTATTTGTTTTCAAAATTCTTATTAGAGTCTTTTCAGCTCAGTTGTTATAGGATTCTTGCAGCATTTTATTGAATTCACTTTTTGCCACTATACTTTTCTAATTTTTTGTTGTTGCATTGGTAGACATTTTTGATTTTGTGTTGTATAAATGTTAGGCCTTTAACTGGAAAATACACGAATTTTTCAAATTCTTTTTCAACAGGTTTTTTTATGGTAACACCAACTGGTAGCAGGAATGGTCAAAATGTATAAAAAGTTTCTGATCTTGATCAAGTGTGAACTAAAATTGACTTTGTACGACTTAGACAACTATTAATTGAATGAAAACATTGCCGATTCTTGATCAAAACTTATATCTGTATCCCATACATCATAAGATATTTATCTGCCATTAAATATTTATCTGCTAATATTTTCCTTTATAACGTTTTTCTTTTAATTACTAGGAGGGAATCATATTCACAGAAACAGATCAATATTTGATAAAGCCAATGCAAAAATTGGGCCTAGACGGTGCACATGTCATTATAAAGAGAATGTTACCCAAAATCAGATTTCATCACAACAGCAATAAAACTAGCACTAAAATTCAAGGTACGAGTCACAATATAATAGTTTTTGCAAAATTGTAAGAAATTGTTAATATATTTTCATAAATACTTTTCCAGAAAGTGACTACTTTTCTGATAAATTAAATGTGTTTTGAGAATTAAAAGCTGATAATGATTTAAAAAAATATAATAAAGATATCAGCTTAGCACGTTTGCAAGAATCAAGAAAACTTTTCCATCATTTCAGAGATTATTCATGTTTTTATATGGAAGTTGTTGTAATATCAAAATTGTTTATTGCTTGTTGAAGAAAAAGTCCCTTTTTTCAAAACAAAAGCACACAGAAAAAACATGTTTAAAAACCATTTGGCCCAGGAAGCAGTCTCTTTGCAAGACTAACGTGTTTTGAAACATTGGAATATCTGTAATTGAGATTCTATAATGAATTCATAATGATTTATAGAAGCTTTTGTGCATTTGGATCAGACAATCTATTGAATATCTCTTTATGTACTAATAAACTTTACTCTATAAACTTTACGGACAATTATTTTGGTTAAAATCTCGAGTCGAACAATTATGCATCCTTTAAAAGATTTAAGTTAATTAAATTATGGATGAAAGATTGGCCTGACTTTTTTGCCGTTGCAACATAGATGCCACAACCTTTTTACAGTGATCGACATTAGAATAATTATGAACGATTAGCATTGATATTTCTAAGAGAATTATCTTTTGATCTTAGATGTTGCTAAATTTCCAAAATCGTGTCCTTGAGAACAAATAATCAGCTACAAATGCGGTCAAAAACGTCAATTACCCGAATTTCTTACTAGGATATAATTCCTTCATAAAATTTTCAAGCGACGACGAGCAACAAAGATTTTCTTGTCATTGATTTTAAAAAAACATATTTAAACAAACTGTGGTTGACGAAAACGTTTTGTTAATGCTTTTCTTGGGTTATCCAGATGATGTTACAAGGATGATTATATTGCAAGTCTCTCTAATGAGATATGAGTTCATTTTGCCTGGTCATATTATTCTTTATATTATCCTCGTAGATAGTCCGAAAGTACGAAAAAAAAGGAACGCCGGAGATGCATCTATAGAGAAGACAGTAGAGACGCTGCTTGTCATTGACCAAAAGATGGCGCAACACTACGGCCTAGATGCTGCGCGACAGTATGCGCTGACAGTTGGAAATATTGTATGCATGCCTTGCTGTGTTGATATTTAGGGCATTCAATGGCAATCATGAAAATTGAAAGTAAAAATGTGCATCAAAATATTGCTACATGCGCGTTGTTAGTCAAACTAATATTAAATACATCGAGGAAATCTAATTACTCTTCGTTTGATTAATAGAAAAATTGTAGGATAATTTGATGACAATTTTGGCTTTTAGGCACACGACATTTTGAGAGATGCAAGCATTGGACCAAACTCAGTGAATATGGTTATCGTCAAAGTCCTCGTTCTTGTAGCATCACAGGTAACACAGCCTTCAAAGTATCATTTGAAATGTTGCAAAATTGCAAATAACACACTTTTTTACGAAAATATATAATTTTTTGCCGAGCCTCAATAATCTCAATATTCTTGCCCAACACAAGGTGTTGCCTCATTGTAAACTTAAAACTCAACAGAACAGAACAATGAACGTGGTATTGAAATGCAAAATCTAGTCACTGAATCAGACGATAGAGTTAATTGCTCAAAGAATTGACGAGTGTATTTCTAAAAATATACACTTGGTGAGCAAAAGTATTGCACAGGCTGAAACAGAAATGGCGGCACTGCAGCAAAATATTTTAGCGAACCAAAATTCAAGTTGCCAAAGCAAGATTCATTAAAGTTATAAGATGACTTTTTAACCGGAATATGTTAGAAAATCTATCAAGGTTTGATGTTAAAAATAGTAAATGCAAGAATATTCTTGATTTTTGCGTATTTCTAAACAATATCGACATTTGCAAAATCACAAAAATGGAGCCATAATGATTGAAGTACCTGTGCAATACTTTTGCTCACTAAGTGTATATAGCACAGCTTGTCAAAAACCATAAGAGTGCAGTGTAATACCAACCTCGACCAAATCACACCCGGCCCGCTCACAAAATCTTGTGTCGTTAGGAGATCCGGCATCTAGTTCGTTGTTAGAATAGTGTGCCCAACTAGAAAGGGGCGTGTGTCAGTATAGATATACTATACTGCTATATATAACATATACAAACATGTATATATGTTGTCTTTTATAGTTCTATAGAAAAGAACGAGATATACACGTTCATGTGTATCCAGTTTATTCATGTAGCCTCGCCATAGAGGTATATATATATATATAATGTATTCAATAAGAATATACTACGAGCTCACAGTGCCAATGAAGGGACAATGGTTAGGCATAAATTTATGTGTAAACAAATAATTGCGAACTCATACGTAAGTGTAAGAGCGGTGTGCATATAGGTATTGCGGTTATTTAGCCAGTGTCTGTAGATAAGATATATATTGTAATTGTGACATCGATACATCGATATATGTATACACCAATAATCGTGTACCAAAATGTGAGTATAGGTATTGTGTGCATATTGGTATTGCAGTAATTCAGCCAGTGTGTGTAGTAAAGATAATCTGACATAGGAGATCCATCACTTCCCTCCCGTGACGTTTTCTTCTGCGAGGTCAAAAGATTGGCCTTGAACAGCTTGCACCAACAACTGTTTAAATTCGAAGCTCACCCTACGCAAAATTATTTAGGTTTTCGTTGGCGATTCTGAAAAGTTCAACGAAGTTCAGCTACAAAGCGAAACGCGGCGACCAGCTTGTAGAGGCGAAATATCAAGTGCGCGTGCTCTCTCTTTGCTTGTTGTGGCTTTCGCCAAGATTCGCTTGAATGGAGATTGAGCTATAGGTATGGGAATAACATCTATCGCCATACGATAAGACCTATCAGATAGGTGATTCAATGGTTGGTTGACAGGGGGTAGCTAACGGGGGATGTAGATGTAGATAAAAGTTTTGGATGGTGAAAAAATTCTCCGTTTTTCTGTAAAAGCGTCTATCGATCAGTGAAATAGCACCAACATTTCTCTTTATCTATGTTTTCGTCGTTAAACTTTACTACTCATGACCCCCCGCCCCCCAGTCTGGAAGATCAAGCTACACCACTGCTGGTTTTATTGTTATTTTAGATTGACTACATTACCACGGTTTACACCAGTGGTGTGTTAGAACTTGCATTATTTCTGTGACCAATGATTTTCTTCGTCCTACAAGGAGAATTTAATCATCAATCATCACGCCCATAACACTTTGGCATCATTTGGCAAATGGGCTTGGCAGCAGTCAAAGCAGCTCGAAGCAAAAGGAGAAGGTTTTGATTATGCTATACTTCTCACCAGGTCAGTGCTTAGACACGATACTAAAGTATAAAGCTAAATTTTGGAATGTATGTCTTGGTCGGAACATCACTTTTCTCGTTTTGGGTTATGCGCCTCGCTTCCATATCCTCTTCCACGTCATTGCGAAAGTGATATATTTACATCCTACCTAGAGACATATTTGTATAACAATAGAATCACGTTAGTTCATTTTCCCTGTTTATTGAAGATTGTGTCCGTATTTCAAAAAGTAACTGTAACTTTGCTGTACAATATTATAAATTAGAATGAAGGCTTAAAATAAAGAATGCAACCAGCCAGATTGGTAGATAACAAGCATTGAAAAATGTTCATAGCGTCGTCAAATTGGGGAATAGAGATTTCACAACAACGCTTGGGTACAAAGCCACTGATAAAAGTTCATTTTTATACACTACCGCGATTTCGTACTGGTTTTTTGCATTTATGCTCTACGAAGCCTAGTATTAAGAATGCAATCTAAACTGTCATATAGTAAATTTGGCAATTGGGTATTTCAAATATTCAGGCGTTTTTACTTAGTTTATTCGTTCAATAAACGGACTCTAAAAATGGCTAACTTTCCCAATGGCATACAAGTCCTCTTCGTGAAAGGTATGACCAAAAGGTTCTGAACACTTTTTTAATGTAAAGTAGTCAGAATTGCTCGGGGGTGGGGAGGAGGGGGGCTAATTCATCAGCAGGATTGACTTGAACTAACTATATCCCAATGAACTGCTGAATTACGCGCAGACAAGGACAATAATAGTAGAAGAAAAATCCGAACTGGAAACGAAAAAAAATTCATAAAATGCCCTTTTTTCGTATCTTGATTTAAAATAAATTAGCATAGGCTAACTGCATTTAGAACTGCGAACAGCAATCTTTCTGTCAGATGATTTTGAGAAAATATTATGGATAACTTTTTATACATGTATGTAATATAGACAATATAGAATTGATTTTTATTCTTTAGATATGACATTTGCAAGGATATTGAGCAGCCTTGTGACTACAATGGTATGTACAAAATTCAAAGTAACTCGTGACCTGAAAAAAAAACAAATTTGTTTCCTAAAAATCTCGACAAAAGTAAATTCCCAACGGTCTAATACTTTGAAAAAACAGTTGCATATGCTATAATTTCTATTTTGCTGTCATCTCGTGGTTTGTTGTTCATTGCTTGGCTAGGGGGGGGGCATGCTGGTTACCCTTTTGTAAGTTCTAATTCTAATCATATTCATATCCATTCATGTCTATTGCAAAATAAAGTTGAAAACTTAAAACACTTTGTTCTAATTATCTTGGCTTCATTGTTCGCCATTATTCCACTGAGTTTTTTAATCTTGGTCGCTAATTGCTGACCAACCTCGGCAGCAGTCTTTTTCAATTGTGGGATACCGTGTAAGCTGAAAATTTGATTCTTCGCTTTTTAGACTTTTGATTGCATGAATTCGATTTGCGCAACTTTTTATGCTGACTTTATCGCGTTTTTAAATGAAAAAGAAAACAGAACTAAGAAAAATGATTAGGTTAATTTTATCTTGACAAGGCCTAGGCCTAACAGTTTCCACAGCTCTTTCATATCAAATTTTTCCATTTAATTTCCATACAATATCATAGTTTCTTCCCTCTTTAATGGAAGATAGCAATACACCGATATAGTTCATAAGCTCAGATATGGTTTTATCGCCATAGTTTTAGGCCGAATACAAATTTTCATATTGTTTGAGCTTATATTTTAGATTTTATGGAGAAATGAAGTTTGAAAACTTGCAAGGGATTTGACCGCAAATATCGTTTCGGGGGGAAACTTAATCCATTATGAAATTTTCATCTTTATGTCGTTATAAAATCAATATCGTGAGCATTACCATAATGAAAACTTCCAAGTAGATTATGGTCTCAATCCGACTCTAAGGTCAAAAATTTTGTACAAAAGAATCTGAAGAATTTTTTAAAATGAGGCTGTTAGTCGAATTGGTGTATTTATATCATAGTGGTTGTAAAATTTCAGCTAAATAAGTCCCTCTACTATAAATGGAAATTCTCAAAAACTTGAGCTCTTTCAAACAAAAGAATGTAGAAAATCAATGTGAAGGACTTCTGTCGAAAGTTATTCTTTTTCTCTTCCCTAAGTTTTCAAGATTACTCAAAATTCTCCACATGAACAAATGCTTCACCTCCTCCTTAGGGGCATCCTACACTGGCGGAATGTGTCGGTTTCCTTCTTCGGTGGCAGTAATTCAAGACCATGGCCTAATCACCGGCTTTTCAATTGCTCATCATATTGGACATAGGTATGCAAGCATAAAATGAACATCTATTTGCTCTGATGGTAGACAGCAAGTAGATTTATTTTAATTCAGGAGGAATAAACTGTATTGTTAAGATGTGTTCAAAATTTTAAAGTCCAGAAAAGTTGTTAACCTTCCTCTAGACAAAAACATTCCAGAAGGCAAATCTTTCTCACAAAACAATATAAATTAGGCGTGGATTGAGCGTGTCATAGGAGCTTCTAGTGTTTTTCGTGGAGCTTTTTCTGGTCAGTGGCCGTGCGACCGTAAAGTTTTTTTGACTCTGCAAAATTTCCAGGGTTTTGTAAGATATTTAAAAAATGATGACACGTTTTTATCAATAATGTCAATATGAATTGCTGGGATGTGCTGTTAATTAAAAACCATCACAGGACAGGACAAAACCATCAAATGTGAAACATCAAATACCATTTGGAATTTCAAACTTTTTAACTAGATCAATAACCTCAAGTGTTTTCCAAAACCACTTGATACAAATGATCCTAAATACATGAGTGAATTTAGTTTCTATGATTTTTATATTCAACGGAAAACTTTCCTTTTTATTTCTGTTTGATGGTCTGTCATAAAGTGCTCGTTGCTATATAGGCAGAGCTGCTCACACTATTCGGTATATAGACAGGGCAGTGTTAAGTTGCTACTCCGAGTTTCACGTTCATTGCGATCATCAGGCAATTGTTCCTTGAAACATGCATAATTTGACGGCAGGGAATCTTACTTTAGCTCAGATGAGCACAGAGATTAGTCGCTAAAGTCAAAAATAATTTGTATTCAACTCATTTAAGCCTGATACCATAAAAGCTTCTGAGTTTTTCATGCGATGACTACCTTTACTCTTCCTTGTCTTCACGTTTTTGTCCTATGTCGCTTTATATCTACCTGTCTTGGCAACCTTGCTGATCACCATTGGCTCAATTTCCTGTATAATGACATTCTTGCAGAAACACCAACAAGGATAATTCTCATCAAAAACTACAATTTCTTCAAATTGCTATAACTTCATAAAAATTACTGTTATTTCTTCTTACTGTTATTTTTTGCTTTTAGTTTGGGAATGGAGCATGACATGATTGGCACGTCGTGTTTTGCACAAAACAGAGTGATGAAGCCAAATGCTGGTTACGGCGAAGGAGCATTCCTTTGGTCATCTTGCAGTGTCAATCATTTGCAAAAATTTTTAAGGTACAAAATTAGTATTTGTCCACATAATTGCTTTTCACTGATTCACGACTGGTGACTTTCGCTAAACTTTGAAACACTGCGCAAATCCTCTGAAAACTAACTTTTTAAGAAATCCATAACCTAAAATTCCAAATTGTTTGTCCAAAGCAATCTATAGCTTTAAGACAACTATGAATGACTATTAATTTTCAATATTTCTATCCTTGGCTCGATAATACCATACAAATATTAGATTTTGAAATTGTATTGAGAAACCTATTGCTCCAACCGTTTAAGCTACAACATGTTAGGAAACTGTTCCAATTTGACTTCATGGTATGACAGCCTGCGTTGTTAATGAATTACTCAAATTTAAAGCACGGTACAATAAAAGCTTTTTTTCTGTAATTCACAATTTGCAGCAGTAGTGCTAAAACATTTATTTATGGAATTCAATTCAATCTAATCCGGCCTGTATCCGATTTCTTTACAGAACTGAACAGTCGCACTGCCTTAATGACGCCCCTTCCAAAAAGAGGCAAGACAGTGTCACTTCGTTCCCAAACTCTGGAACAGTTTACGATATTGTCTCACAATGCGAGCTTTTTGGCGGAGAAGGTGCTAAGGGATGTTATTTTGGAGATATAGATGAGGTATATGTACAAAATATTTTCTGTTAGAGTAAATGAACAGGCATGCCGGGGTATGCCCTTGATATGTTGTTTATCAAACAATTGGTTTGCTTATGAAATGTAGGGATTTTTCTGACTATAGTGAAATTTTGCTCTAAATAAGTAGTATCGTATATAGTAATCAATTAGAGTCTGTACTAAATCTATAGAATTTAATTTATGACATTTTGTAGTAAGTTGAAGGAGGTAAACAATGATATTCAATGCAATTTTACAAAATAAACTTAATCACAGCTCTTAGAATATCTCTGCTAGGTCTGTTATTTGAGGTATTGCACATGGCCCTGTCTTTCAAAAGTACTTCTCTCCACCTAGAATTCCTGTAAAATTCACTTACAAAAACCAAAAAAATATCGTTGTTTAACAATTACCAATTCTAGCTTCTACACGACAATACAATGTTTAAAGATCAGGAAAACATAATACATGTCAAAAGAAAGAAGAGAATTGCTAACTTTGTACGTTGTTTTATTGGAAACCAATATTGTTCGCAGGGAGATAGAAAGATTGATAAATCTACCCGCGAAAAATTGAAGTCAGTTTTCCAAAATCTTTCGCAGGGATTGTAGCTATTTCAAATAAATCTTTGTAATTTGTAATTTTTAATCTCAATTGTAGGTGTGTGTAGAACTGCAATGTATCTTGCCAAATATGACATCTTGTGTAAGAACAGGCAAGCCTCCTGCAGATGGAACTGCCTGCGGGGAAGACAAAGTAAGAAAACCAATATTTACTTTGCTTACTTAACGCGATGTCACCTTAACAACAATAAAATTTTGTAAAACTGTTACCTGTAAATGCGTGGAATAAACTGGCCACGCCCTTTTCTTGTTCACCTGGTCGAGGCTCCTACCCCTACGATCACTATGATAAAGCGCAATGCAGGAAGCTAAATCTTTTTATCAGATCCAGAAAATTAACTTTCAGTCTAGTGGTTCTCACGCTTAAGGGGAGTTTTCCGGCCCCATTTGCCAACAAAGTAAGATATTCCAAAAACAGCTAGATTGAACGACAATCAGGCTATGCCAAAAGTCCGAAGCATGTGGTCATTGTAGTTTCTTGCACAATCTTGGTTTTGCTGTCAATGTTGCCTGTCTCACAGTTTGATTGGCCTTTACGATCCATAAACTGAGTTGGTGGCAACAAAGAAACAAAAGTTATCTTCAGTAATGAAACAATTCTAACCCTCTTAATTTTTATTCAGCTGGAAAACTTTCAATTGTTGTATTTTCCATCAAGATTTTCTTTTTAATACAGAAAACAAGCACTCTTCAAAGTCGTTACGTGTTGATGTGAAGCTAGTAGTAATTGCAACTTTTAAAGATTAAAAAGAATTTGCGAGTATCGGCGCTGAATCTGTCTTTGCAAACTCGCTTCCTGGCCACTTCACATCGATAGAAGATCTTGCACACCGCTCGGAGGAAAAAGAATAAGCTTCTCCACTATTTTCTCCAGAGCAAGAAATTATTCGCTGCATAATTTTATAGAGGCTCGGGGTCTATTTTTTATTATTTTTATTTTATAATATTTATACAGGTTAAAGGTTCATACATATGTTTTTCAACCTGACCTGTTTAAAAGAATAAAATAAGAGCTAATAACTATGTTAAAATACTAGTAACAAAAGAAATTTACCAATCAAACCTAATTTACAATATCTAATAATACTAAGGCTATAAAAAGTGAACGTAAAGATGAAATAAAAGTTGTCCCCGACTAAAGTTGTTCTTTGAAGGTTTTCAGGGAGGGGGCCAATTTGGTAGCCCTTTCTAGATTATTCCACAGTTTTGGACCGCGATAAGAAAAAGCCTTTTGGCCATTTATTGTTTTTAGCAGCGGTATCTTAAGATCAGTTTCTGATGAACGCAGAAACCGTTCTCTATCATCCGAACATTTTTCGAATAATTTTCTCAAATAGTCTGGTGCAAGCATATTTAGAGATTTGTAAGTTAGCGTGGCTGTCTCCTTTCTTACAAGATTTCTGATGGTTAACCAGCCAAGATTCTGAATTATCGGAGCAGCAGACGCATCGTATGGGCTGCTAGTTACAATTCTGGCAGCTCTATTTTGGATTTTTTGCAACACGTCAAGCTTTGATTCATTACAGCAGCCCCAAACGGAACAACAGTAGCTCAAATGGGGCTCAACAATTCCTCTATACATTTTGTTGAGGATGTCAGATGGAAGATATTTCTTAGAATACTTAATAAGTCCAAGGGCTCGATTAGCCTTGGTCTTGATAGTATCGATATGCTTGTCCCAGTTGAGCTTACTGTCTATCTGAACACCTAAGTATCTTGTGTTGGTGATCATTTCAATGTTCTGATCACCTATTGAAAAAGAAAAAGATGGTGGAGCATCAGGCTGGCTTTCGATCTTACGGATGTTTGGACCAGAGCCTATAACAAGTGACTGCGTTTTCACTACGTTCAATGAAAGTTTATTTGCATGCAGCCAATCCTGTAGTTTCAAAAGATCTACGTTTAGGTCATTTTGAAGGTCACCAATACTTTTTGAAGAGAGGGAAATGGCCGTGTCATCAGCATACCTGCTGACATGAGATTTTTGCAAGGAAAAAGGCAAATCATTGATGTAAATCAGGAACAAAGGTAGACCAAGACAAGAGCCTTGGGGAACTCCACAATTTATTCCCCTCACATCAGAGGAGGTGCCATACACCCTGCAGAATTGTTTACGATTTTCCAAATATGATGTGAACCAGTGCACAATCCACCTCCACCTCCTCTGAACCAGTGCACAAGACCTCTTCCTGAACATCCACCTCCATCAGCTGCAACGATTCTTGAATACTTGAAGCTTTGACCGCCTATGACTCACTGAAGGGGAATGTTGCTGACCTCAGTGTATTCAGTTTGCTTTTTTTGGAAATCAGCAACCATTTTCACGCATAGAGCCTCAGTTAAGTTTGCACATCCTTAAGGTCCTCTCTCACTGCATTCACTGCAGACAGCGCTGTAAAAGTTTTAGACTAAAAAATTGAAGTCGCATATCAGAGCCCTGTGCTCCTACCATGAAGATACCTCAGCACGTACTCTAGCGCTCCAACGTGCATGGAGCTGTGCACTTCGTGACTGAAAAGATCTTGCAAATCGTGTCACCTAAACTAATACTTAGCAGCGTAATAACACCACAATTTCCAATTAAAGAAATTTCAAATCCTAAAAGCAAGTAAGCAAAGAAGAACTATCTTTGTCGCAACAAACAACTAAATTTCGCGGCTCGGCGTTTCTGCCCTCAGATGCTGTAGGTGAAAGGTTCCAAGATCATCGCATCAGTTAATAATGAAAACTTTATAACGGTTTCCATTCCAAAAGCGACTCAAGTTTATGAAGTAGAACTACCCATGGGCGTAGCAGATGCTATGAAACTACCTACAAAGCATCAAAAGAGTACCGGCATTCTTCGTACACAGCGACAGGATACCTATGTTTAAATAACAGAACACAACACTCCTACTTCAAAGCCACTGATTAAACCTTTGCTAGTCTATGTACAGTAGACTCCGGTTACAGTCACACCTAATGTTGCTTGAAAGCTTGCAACTGTAAATGGAGGGTGGCTGTAAACGGATTAAAATGGAAGAGTTTTGCCTAATTTGCAAATTGAAGTGTTTGGAAGTGTGACTTTAAGCGGAGTGACTGAAAGTGGAGTCTACTGCACTATAGTATGTTGTCCACAAAATTTTTTTTCACATAGTTTGCGATTTTGAAATGCCCTGACAACCGTGTTGCAGGTAGTTGTTTCAGCAATTTTTCCGAGAAGCGCCCTAGTAGCGCCAATTATTTGCTTGGCAGCGAAGATTTTTTGAGCGCCAGGCACAATCGTAAGTCCTACACGGGTAATAAGAGACCCCAACTAGCAATTTTTCTCCCGCCAATTTTAGCTAGACTCAAATTGTCACGGCAAACCAATGACAACAAAGAAAATCCTATTAAAAAATGTACAGACAATATTCTATGGGTGGCAAATAGCTAGCACTCTTCTGCTCCAGGGGTGGCATTGTCACCCCATTCCATCCCTTGGCTGCGAGCCCGTTTTCTATTCTTATCATCCTCATCTGTTTTTATTCATTGATCACAGTGGTGCAAGCATGGTAGATGCGTAGAGCAACGTGTTGCTGATGCTTCTGTTGTTGATGGAGGTTGGTCATCATGGGGAGAGTTTAAACAATGCTCAAGGCCTTGTGGAGGAGGTATTGCATATCGCGAAAGAACATGTCACAACCCTGTGTAAGGGATTTTTAGGCCATTTTTGAAAATTACGCTTTTAGGCAAATTTCTTATTACACTTTGTACTCCTTGCTAGCGACAGCGATTATACAAAAACAAAAAGCAATCGTGCAATTCTCCAAAACATCTTATTCTCTGTTGATAATTGAATAAAAATCCCTATTTACATTTTCAAAAGTTTCTTAAATTTTTTTACAATGTAAAGTGTTCAAGGAAATAGTACTAAATTACCATTCACTTCTTTCATCTTTCAGCTCTTGCGAAAGTTTGTTAAAGGTTTTACAAAAATTATGTGTTAAGTTTTAAAAACAATTAATCAGAACTGCCATGATATGCCTAGATAAACTTGCTTCAGGTGTGGCTGAAAATGAATCAACCTGAGCCCAAAGGACTCTCGTGAATTAAGGACCTTAAAAGTCTTAGAGATAAAAAGTAACGTCAAAAAAACATTTTTATGATTCAGCAAAACAGAATAAGATAAAATTTCATAGGACTATTGATAATTTTTTTTATTTATCTCATAATATCAAACATAGAGCTCTTCGTGGCGGCAAATACTGCGAGGGAGATTCAAAGGAGTACACGATTTGCAACAAAAAAGTAAGAGTTGATTCTTTAAAGTTCTTGGCGCTTTGTATTCTCTCAGATAATTAGCAAGTGCATTTTGGAAATGCAATGTAACATAAATCATTATTATCATAGTCCATTATCATTCATGCAAATGTTTTTCTCTGTTAACTAAACATCGTGACGAGGTTAAATTAAAAAAGCTGACCAGAAGCATAAAAACCAGAGTTATAAAAGAAAGCTGCGTTGTTTAAGACAAGCCGTTTCTCAGTTGCATCAACTAAATAATATGTAGCTCTGTCTTCTCATCATTGACCACTTTAAAACAGATCGGTGACAGTAATCTCAGAAAAATGATCTTTCTGGATCATTTCTTGATCCGGATGCAAGATTTTTTACATAAACAGACCAAAACCCAGCACAATGATTCAATGACTAAACTGGTACATGCTTAGTGACACAAAATGAATATAAATTCTATATCGCATTGAAAAATATTACACTACATTATTGCAGTGTTCACTGCAGATATTTAATTGGTTTAGGTGAACAATTCCAAAAAATTATAGCCCACCAGTAAAAAAATCCTTAACTTTGTTGGCACAAAAAGCTCTCTGATACCAGTTTCTGATGGTTTTTCCCAATAAATAGATATAGTCATGTGAAAAAATTTATGGTGCATGCCAGTATTAGATGCTTGGTCTGGTGCAGTAAAACAATAAGGATGACACGTTTCATGACTTTGAATAGCTACAGTTGTCAATTATAGCTGAAATAAGGATTGTTGATGGTTTTGTGAGAATGATCCTGTACGAGTATCAAAGCCGCCTTCCCTGCAAGTGCAAAGCGCACTAAGAAAAACAACTAAACATCTATTTCCTTGTACAACAAGAAGATTCACCCATCATCATTAATGATAAATGTTTACAAGCTGTCGTGTCAAAGCATTCTGGTTTCAAACGTTGTATCTAGTAAGGTCGGCATAGAATCAATCCTGTCATTATATTACATGAATGTCATTTAAATGTATACATTATTTATGGAAAAATGTTTATTCCTTTGACAGCCATGCCCTGATTCAGTTATGAACTTTCGAAAACAGCAGTGCAAGAGACATTCTGGATCATTCGAAGGGGACATTCAATATAATTGGACATATAATAAAAGCAACGGTACGTCCTTATCTCTCTTTTTTTACAGAAAGATAAGCAAAAAGATCTTTTCTACTAGACATGCAATATATTAACTAATTTTGCAGTGAATTACAAGGTATTTAATGGTGTTTGTCAAGACACTGGTGGGATCAAAATTCAAAAATTTTAGAGATTGGTTTTTGTGACCTTATAGCTTTAGCTTTCTCTGCGCTGCTTGATGCAAAGAGTGAGGTAGCTTAAAACTATTCTCTGCTGATTCGTGATATTTTTTTGACAATTTCGCTTACTAAATCTTCTATTTATTCCTATTTTCAGAAGGAACTTTAGATTTTTTTCATATATTGGGTTCTTATCTTACTGATATGTTACTATTCTAGAATTCATATAATTTTAAAACGTATTCAAATTTGATTCAGGAAGAAAAGGTAAGCCCATGGAAAGTTCTTGCATGTTAGAGTGTGTTGCAGAAAATAATCGCAAAATTTTGAAAAATTTCGGTCGGTCAATTGACGGAACTGATTGTTATCTGTTTGACGAGAATCTTGCCGGGAAATGTGTTGCCGGTGAATGCATGGTAAGTCAACTTATTTCATAGTTTCAATTTATAATTATTGCAGGCATTGATGCTTCTTTTATCTAGATGTCTTTCATTGACTTGACTGCTCGCTGTCAAAAAGATAGACCAAAGGCATGCGCAGTAACTACCGTTCCAGATTACTCAATAAAAAGGCCATGATATGGATTATTTACGTCTTTGATTCTTTGTAATGTTTTAAATTATGGATAATTTTCCTTTACCAAACTTTTGCAGTCTGTAGGGACCGATTTTGAAGGATGAATAACGGCAGCACAATTTTAGAGGAAAGACACTGGCTCCAGATGCAGTGATTTTGTAATGCACATTGTCATCCAAATTGTCAAATTAAATTGTCAAATTGTCAAAAACTATTTTTCTGACCAGCGCTTTATGGATCTAATGACATCGGGCAAATACCTTCCAGTGATGACACTATTCTCAATTTTACCGATGAAAGGGGCAGGATGTTTTGGAAAAAGCTAGTTTCCAGATGACCTACTTTTCCAACTTCCTGTTTCCCAAAATCCAATAATTGTTCAATTTCCATTCTCATACTAAGCTTCTCATGTAGCTATCGTCTGTTCTTCTTACATTGTTAAAGCACTAAACCTCTCCCCCCTCCAGGTCTAAACCCCTCCCCCTCCCAGCTTCATCATCAGTTCGCCAACTTTTCAACTCTAGTAGGGTACAGTTTCAATTTCACATACTAATAACCTGTCCAAAAAACCTGGTTTTGAAATGAATAATTGTTTCTTTCAAAAATATTCGGGCATTTTGTTGAAAATATTCTTTCAAATCCAAATTTTTTCAAATTGTTTTGCAGTTTGATCGAGTTTCAGGTTGCTTGTTTTTAAAGTGGGACTACTCTGGCTATTTTTCAGCTATCTGGAAAACATTTATCTGCAATGGAAACTGTAAATATCCGGAGATTTTAGAAAACCGGAATTAATTGAAGATGAAGTTTATTTTAGAAAACAGCGAGCAAAACAATCAATACAGCAGGTCTCTCATGTTTCAAATCTAAAAATAAACACCAGCTTTACTCTTTTCTGTTTTTCTTTCCATCAAATTTCAGTTTGTTGGCATCCCAAGATGCTATACAGCTACTCATCTTAAATTTGTTCAGATGTTAGTATGTTCTTAAATTGTCTTCTCGGGATTCACCTTTATTTTTCCTAGACACTTCTATACTTCCAGTCTAAAAATAGGACATTCTCTAGACCTACGTCCATCCCCTCATCTTTTTCCTCAATGCTAGTAACTAATAGGACTTATCTATCTCTTCTGATAAATATTCTTGTCCCTGCTTCTTCTTTCCTTGTTATTATTTTCTATATTCGTGAAATTTTGAGAGTATGATCTTTATATCTTGTTGACGTTATGTTTATCTTTCAAGACCCTTCCATTTCACCCTTACTCGTTTTTACCTGTTACAAGGCCTGCAAGACTTTCTACCTCTGTCTCGCCTTTCTTATTGTTTCAAACATGCAATCTTCTGAGCTTTGGTCTAGGCATTGTAATTCTATTTAATGCAGTTTATTGTAGACTTGGATTTTGCCTCAATCCTTTCATGTATTGCTTTTTTATCTACTTCCTTGTGGTTTATCAGTCCTGATGGGTTTCTCACTTCTGTGTAAGTCTCTTTTCTTGTTCATCGTCCATAATAGGGATCATAATTGGTTGTAATGAATCATTTCGTTTAAAAATCCAAGCCTGAAGGAAGTAACATTGCCATTCTAAAAGCTAAATTCTTATTAATGACTTGACGAGCTAATTACACATTTCGACCAATTTATGGCCCATAATTTATTTTAACGTGGCCATCCTCTGTATCTGGAGATGACTGCGAAGCTTTTACCTAACCATATTTCACCTTGGAGTCCATGTTGATGTGGGATCCTAACAATATCCTGGAATATCCCCAACGCTCATATCTAATTACGTCACTAGTAAATGATGTGCTTTTTAAGGCTGGTCGGTGTATGGTAGCAAAATCCACAATGAAATAAACACGATATATATATATATACTATTTACAAGTTATTATTATAATAAATTCCATTCTTGACAACGAACGATCTTGACAACTTTAAACAACTTGAAAACTTCACTTCAAACTACTCGATCACCAACTACTCTCCAACTTGAGCACCCTCTCCCAACTCCAACTGAGCTAAACAATAGATCCATCAATCAATTACTTTAACACAACAATATGCAGCTAAGCGTGCTTTAAAACCAATATCGACTACGGACAGCATGATAATATTAAGAACAAAAGAGCAACGATATTTATTCTAAACTTATATTACAACAAAAGCAACATCTTCATCAAACTATTCATCACCCAAGCAATTAAGGTTTCACTTTTAAGTACTACGAAAGCTCTGTGTCTGACTACGCTCAGCACTTGTGAGTTATCTGAGTTATCTTTGAATAATCTTTATCTTATAACTCAATAAACACGGACTTCGGGCTTACTGGAATCTTGCTTCGATTTAATTTTCTTGTAAAATACCTTTGGACACATATATGACGCTATTGTTTCGAATTCCCCACCTCTAAAAAGGTTTAAAAGAATGTTTGAGGCAAATAATATTTTCCTTTATTAGTGATAAATAATGGAAGAATGCCCAACGTATTTTGCTGGTCATTAAAATTTCCTATTAGTTGGACTTCACAATAGATTTATTGTTGCGTATTCATTCGGAACATAGGCTAATTCTTAATACTTTCTCGATCATAAATGCGCTGCAAATCCTATAATTAATACTGAACGGTTGACTGACGGTGCAAAGTGCCTTTAGCTTTCTTGTGACAGCATGACCAGAAATTCATTCAACTCCAACCATAAAAGTTTTTCAAAATTCTGTTTTCAAGAGTGTTGGCTGTGATATGGAACTGGGATCAAAAGAAAAAGTTGATCGTTGTGGTGTCTGCAAAGGCGATGGAGGGTCTTGCAGGGAGAAATTTGTCGCCAAGTTGCAAAATCCAGCTGCAGTATTTGTTAATGTGACTGACCGAAAAGCCAACAGAACAAAAAGTTTCCACAACACTGGCAATGTCACTGCATTTATCAATGCAACAGTAGCACACAATATGACGGACGCTGGAAGTCGTTCCATTAATGAAACAAATAAAAACACCACTAATTTTGAAACTGCAAAGACAAAAGGTGGCAACGTTAACAATTCAACAGGTAATAATGATTTTATAACATATAAAGGTGGCATAAACAGATATAGAGATGTATAAACAGATACAAAAATTGTCTTAGCTTTTCATAAAAATCTTTCTAATCTTCAATCACATTTTGGCTTACTGCTCCTACCTTCATTTCGCTATCATTGATGTCAAAACCTTTTTGGTTTAATTTGTTCGGCTACCAATGCTTTACCAACATTGTGTTATTTTTATTTGCTCATGAAAGGAATGCTTAGGTTGACAAAATTTGATAAGCTTCGGCGCTTATAACCAAATGGGCTTTTATGGTCATGCTTTTTAGGCAATTATAAAGTATCCAGTTCTTTGTTAACTTCCAGTTTAAAATTTGGGTGGATTTGAAATGCTTTCACATGGGCTCCGACAAAGGCTGAAAAGTGGGGGGGCCAAGGGAAAATTTAACACCCATAAGCCCCCTGCCAAGCCCCCCCCCCCCGGCCTCCCCTTCGTCGGAGGCCCTGTTTCATATAGTCTTGGGTCTGTGTATTCATAGATTTATCACATGTGCTGAGTCATACTGCTCAGGCAAGCAATATTAAAATGCTCGGAATCAGAAATATGTTTTTCATTTAAAGGTGTAGACCATTTACTAAATGCCCTTCGAAAGCTGAAAGCTTTGCGGAAATTAATGAAAGCTGTACTGCAAAAGAAATGCAGCCAGGACGCCAAATGTCTTGAAAGATACAAGTTCTTTGATTTGAAGCACAAAAAGTCTGAGATCACTCGTCCAAAGTCATTTGAATGGGTAACGGTTTCAACAGGATGCAGTGTTACATGTGGCATAGGTACGTGTTTTGTGCTAATTTCAATGATGGCATTATGATTGCTTGTTTTGTACAAAGTTCATAGCTCCGAAGTACAAAACATTCATATATTCCAGTAGCTGTAGTTGTTTTGTAAATGTATACCTAACGAATTTCAAACACAGTAGATACATTCTAGTGCAGTTCTTTTACATAATGATGCAATTTTCACAAAAGCAAAACTAAAACATAACTCATGAAATATAGGGCAAATGTTATTGTAGTTTAATTTAACTGCCTGCACAGATAATTTAAAACATTCGCTTGCTATCTTAGTCTTTTCAGCTAAGGGACAGGCTACTCATCTCCAATTAGCCAAAACAAGAAACCATTCAAGGTTGCCATTTTGCCTCTAAGATTTTTAAAAATATTTTTCTCACTTTTGCTCACTATCAACATGCGGTGGGTAGCAGGTTTTGTCTTGGAATTGTTAAATCATTTCTCAGATATTCAATTGCTCTTTCAGGAACAAAATCGCTATATCCTGAATGCCGCCGTGTGGACGATGGTTCTCCAGTGGGACTCAAGTTTTGTAGCATCCTTCCTAGGCCAGTCTCCAGGGTGCGTGCCTGTAAAATGCCAAGCTGTACTGCTAAGTATGCACTTACATAATATCATGATATGTACTGTCAATCATATAAAGGTCTCATAATGATGTCATGTACTGCCAATCATATCATTTTCTATAGGTTATACAATTCACTCTTAATTATATTGATTACTACCAATATAATTTGGTGTCGATCGTATAATTTTCTGGCGATCATATCAAGTCCTGCTAATCAAATACCCTGCCTCCACCAAATAACTCCAATGCTACCAGCATAATACTATGTTATAGTAACTTACAGCTTTTGATATCTTAAGTTTTCTTTTAATGGTTCAATACTAAGTAATATCAGGAAGTATCAGTAATTACTTTATCAGTTATCAAGCTGGAAAAAGAATAGACGATTAAATAAATTTTGACAAGTTATTGCTTATAATTCTTCTTCTTTACAGAATAAACAATAAAATTTATCTCCGAGTTCTTTTCATCTATTTGTAGGTGGGTTGCTAGTGACTGGCAATCTTGTACAAAATCTTGCGACGCTGGCATTCAGTCAAGAGAAATCTTCTGCATCAAAACAATTAGCGAAGAATTCTTGGTTCCTGACAGTTTATGCAATTCTGAGAAAAAGCCTGCCGCGAAACGAATCTGTAACAAGCAGGCGTGTCCCTCCAAGTGGATCACAGAGCCATTTGGAAAGGTGCAATTTTCATTCCTTTTGTTTGAACAATTTTTTGGCGGTACAGAGAATACCACTTAGAGCTTTTTCGTCTAACCGTCTTCAGAGTACAAAATGTCAGAATAAGGGTCCGAAAGAATACGACGGAAAATATAAACCCAGTTGTGGATATTCTCTTTTGTGCATTAGAGAATTGCATCAAGTCATAAGTCAACTGGTGAGAAATCGTAAAAGAAGGTTAAATATTATTTCTGTAAGCTGGCCTTTGTCGTGTGATGGAGCAAAGTCCACAAAAAATCTATTGACACCATCTCATTTACACTTAAACACTCAACCTTGAAAAATGTATCAATTTTCATCTCCAAAATAAAAATAGAATATACCTTCCTAAAATATACGATCTCCCTTTTAAAAAACCGAAGCACGCTCTTCTCTAACAGAGCTTAAAGGAAAGTGAATGTGCTGTTGATATCGATATACAGCCACGCGTGCTTGGAAAGCCAATATGAGATAGAAATGCAAGATACAACATAACAAAAACATATATTGAAACAAACTTGAAAGCTAATCTATGACTCTAATTTGACTATGGATCGTATAATTATAATGATTGCCAAACAGCAACGACGTTTATAACCCACAGGTATTTGCACTAATCTTTATATTAAAATGCTAAATATATCTAACCTTTTTTACTGTGAAAATATCAAGGAATGCTGGTGAATTTAGCTCTATTTGAAAATGTGCTGCAATAACATTCTCGAAATGTTCTGTTTATTGTGTAACATGACCAATACGATGCTTAGAAAGCTGCTTGATCATGTATCTGTAGACCGAAAGCTCGATCATACGTAGTAAACGGATGCTAGTTGCAACGGTTTTCACTTTCTGAAACACGCAAGGAAACATGCGAAAATGCTTCCAAAATATTATTTCTTTCGTAATGGATAGGATCTCAGACAAGTTAAGTTAAATCTTTTGAAGCCAATGATTGAATGTAGGGAAATTGAAAAATGCATGATTGTTATTTCTTTTATAGCAAGTAGGCCTAAATAGCAGATCCTGAAACAGTTAAGATTCACTCAATACCATTGATGAAATAAAATGTGAGGATTTCAAACTCCCTTCCCTTATGTCACCACCGTTTCACCAACTTGATTATCTCTCTGTATCATTATGCTACTGACACCAATTTTTGCACTGACCGTCCGCTTTTATTAACTTTGATTTTGAAAAGAAGAGCAATGTAAGAAGATGAAATTTTTCTCCATGCATAAAGTATGACACACAATCGACCATCATCAACGGAAGCATTTTTTGAACAATTTCAACAAGATCAAATACTACAGCATTTTATTTTTTCTTTCTAGAGAGACTGTTAATATGTTTTCAAATTAGTCCCAATTGCTCAAAGCCTAGATAAACGATGAAAGAAACTATCTAATTTTTTGCTATTTCAGTCTTAAATAAGCATTAATTTAGCACTTTCTCTAAGTTTACGAATAGCAAAGAACCTCAAATCTCTTTTATGTGCATGTACATCTCTGAATTTGTAAAATTTATATGAAACTCAAAAAAATGATTAAATGATGAACTCTATGTTCAAGATGCAAATTTAACTAGAAGTTATCTAAAAATCAAATTTAAACACATACCTTTCGCAAATTTTCGATTTCGATGTGTTCCTGCTTCTAGTTGGCCATGTTCAAAGCTTTCACTGTAATATTTTTCTTCACGTGCAGTGTTCTACTACATGCGGTAGAGGAGTGCAGCTACGAGAGGTATTTTGCAAATCGTATGTTCAAAACACAGGATTTGCAATTGTCCCTGACAGTCGTTGCAAGCCCATCGAGAGGCCGCAAAGAGAGCTGATATGTAATGCTCATAATCCTTGCCCTGGAGAAGGTTTGTCTTATCAGTCATGTTTTCATCGCTCCATGAGATATGATCATGAACACTGAGACTCCAGTAAAATAAAGCTAAAACTTTGTTTGAATGCAATTTATCGTTCCTGATTAAGAGCACTTATCTTGTAATAACAATCAAAAGCTGAAAACTTTTGGTAGGTTTCCTTTGAAAAAGTTAACTAAATTAACTAATATATTGTAAATCGGTTACTCGTCCACAAAAAAAATGAGCAATTAATCATAAGGAAAGTTTTTTAAGCAAAAATTTACAAATATGGCTTAAATTGATACTTCTTATTTGAAAGCAAATCGATTTTTCTTAGAATATTTATTCCCATTTATTCCTAAAATGCCTGAAAAATGTTTGTACGCTTCACACAATTTCAAATATTTTAAAATATTTCAAATATTTTTCAAATATCAATAGTTTCATCTCCCTCTCAAAAATTTTGCTTATTTACTGTAAATGCTTTGGTGTTGTCAGATTTAATAAAATCTATGATATTTTACTCTGGAACCAACACTGTTTTGGTGCAAATGTGATGTCGGTCTTTTCTACCGTACGCTGTCACCTTTTTGAGACAACTCTCAGAATTCATTTGGTGAGAATTGCGTTCATTAATGTACTTCTTCTTAATTATTTTATTGCAGGAAATTGTGGTGGAAATATTACTGGACTACATGGTAGTTTTTCTTCGCCAAACTATCCAAATCACTACCCAAATAATAAAGAGTGTTTGAGTCAAGTTACAGTTCCCGATGGGAAAGTAGTAAGATTGCAGTTGACAGAGTAGGTTTCCTCTTTACCTTCTTTCATCTTTTCAATTACATCTTTCTTTTTCTTTCTTTTTCTTGCTTTTCCTTCTTTACCTTTATTTTCGTCCCCTTCATTTCTTTTTTCTTTCTGATTCGCCCCTTTTTACTCATCTTCTACTTTTTCTCTTTCTTTAATTTTTTTATTCTTCTCTTTTTACTTTATCTTTATCGCCCTTGTCTTCTTATTCCTCCTTTTCACTTTCAATTTTTCACCTTCTTTAACTTCTTCATTCTCCAGTTTCATCAACCAACTCTGTCATTAGGTCAGGCGAAATCTGCTAAGTTATTATGTTTTGACTTTTTCATGACCATTTTAAAATTTCTTTCTAGAAGGAAAAGTTTTTTAAATTTTTTTGATCAACCGGGCTATTCCCTTAACTAGTTTGCCCCATGCAATAGATGAAACAAGATAAAATGGTGGGAAGGTAAAGCTCTATCGAGTATCTAACAATGGGAGTGCATTGATATTACACTGGTGACTAAGTATTTAACAATAGTGACCAGGATATGACATACCAAGAATATTGATTCAAATAAAGTAGCTCTTTTTAAAGAAAGACCCTTCAACATAACATGACCAATTCTCAAACTTTTCGAGCGGTTATGAAAATCTCCAATATTCAGGATAACTACTGCACTTAATCCATTCTTAAGCTGGACACGAAGCTTTATTTCGTTGAAATCGTAAATATAAATTTTAGAACAGCTGCAATACCGATGATTGTTACAGTTCTCAAGGCAAAAAATATTGATAATTTTGTCTTTGAATATAGCTTGAAATTGAATGGAACAAGGAAATCAGAGTCTGCCTGTGAAGGAGACTTCTTGCGCATCATTGATGGGAAATGCGGTGACCCTGTGGTTAAGTCATTTACTCTTTTCTGTGGCAATGAAGTTTCAAACGCCTCCATCGTGTCAACAACTAACACAGTTTGCGTCAAGTTCTTTTCCGATGACTATGGAACAAGCAAAGGGTTTTCAATACAGTATGTAGCCATTGATAGTCCTGGAATGCCTTCAAAGATCGTTGGTGAGTCCGCTCTTTTGGGTTTCCTTTCTTAGATACCGTAGACTTTAATAAATAGAAATATCAAGACCGAAATCATTTACCACCCAAATGTCACTATACATTTTTTGATATAAAGTTTAGAGCTAACAAGAAAATAAAAGTTTTCAGATTCCATTAATGCAATACCAAGAAGAAAAATGGCTTTTGAAAGCATTTTCAAATATTTTGAAGAAAGGGTATAGATTCTAGAGAAGAGCTTGTATTTTGTAGCTGCCTGTCATTTTTCTTTTTAGATTTGTCATGCTTATTTACTATCCTTATAAAGCTGATATTACTGCATCAAAAAATGCAGCTAAGTGATACTAAGTGATACTTTCTGAATGAAATGCCAAGCGTGTCTTGATTGAGCTCGCCTTTTTGTGTTCGGTTTTATTGCTGTAAAAGAATAATATTTTAATATTTGGAATATAATCATTTTTGATTCTTGTTTTATTTGTGAAATTTGCTGTCAACTTATTACTACATTAGGAGAAAAGATGTTCGATTGTTAAAGTCGGAAAGACACTATAAATCCGATCATTTTTATGAGCATCAAACGTAAACAATTTTTTATTAACTTGACTATATATTGCAAGCTTTGCATTCTGTCATGCCAATAGAATACCATTCGATGCTGAGTTGATCAAAGAGGAATCAGTTTGCTGGTTACATCCAAATGAGTGTGTTTTAAACACCTTGCAGTGAAATTCGTGTGAAACATATCACGATAAAGTCTGGGCATCAGCATTTTTATATCTGTTGATTCTCTATAACCAAACTGAATCAAGATGAATCTAACAAATTCCTTTGTCAACTTAGAAATGCGTTATTCTATGACCAAGCATATGCACTGAATAATATCACATCAGATCGTCTCAATACCAGCAGCGCTTAAAGAATATAGAATCTTCAAATCGACTTATGGATCACAATATTTATCGCGTATTTCTCAACTCTCTTTTCTATTTGTTAAACTCCATCTCAATATTTTAGTAACCTTTAATGTTTCTAAACCCTACATAGTTTATAGTTCCAAAAACATTCCAAGGAAAGAAAGCAACTCTTGTTACTGTTGATAGGAAAGGCTTCATTTCAGCCATTCTCATATCACCATCCTTATGCCCGTCCTGGCACTTATATTTATGCTTTCTATTTACATTTATATTCATTAAATCAAAAAAGTCAGAGCTATTATTAATCTACAATAGGATCAGTTCTTTGCTTATTAATATTGCTGCAGACAGAATATTAGATAAACACCCATGGCTGATAATACGCACAACCACAACGGAATTGTTGCAACATTAGCTGCATTACAGGCATCTCCTTCGCAGCAGCTAATTTCGCATTTTGAAAACTGCGATGTGCATTGCGGCTTCACGCGGCAATACTCCTCCGTAAAGCAATCACGTCTGTATGTCTCCACAGCTCCCTGTTTGGTATAGAATTTGCCACATCTTGTCTGTGGCCAAACGCACTCTTTTGTCTTGAGCAACTTGCATTTGCTCCAATCCATGTCACTCTCACAATCCCAACAGTTTAGTCCAGCTGAATAATCAACTGAAAATAAACAAGAACAATTTTAGCATTCGCTCAGTGACATTTTTAACTACATTTTTCAAGAACATTCTTTTGTGACCTTCAATTGGAGACATCATTGCAGGGACGTACTTTTAGAAACGCTCTTCATCTGTGGATAATACGTCAGCATTATATTCTACTTTTTATGCTCAATTAGTCGAGCAGTAAAAATTGAAGAGAAAACTGAGCAATCACAAAGAAAAGGAGGTCCCATGAGTATCTTGGAATCGGACATTAAAAGGCAACGAAAATATAGTTAAACTGTTTGAGATAAATATAATTTCAAATCTCTTTCAATTTTTAGTAAATACATGTTTTTAAGGCTCCTGGAAGCAGGTCGAATGCTTATTCGTGAAACCGGGATTCGTATACGTCAAGTAAATTTTATTTAGGTCTTCCAATGAATAAATCGAATAAAGTGTAATTTCTGTGAAAAAGTGAGAATTTTTAACAAGCTCCAACTCAAATAATTAGGTTTCTACTGTGTTATCCAGTTTCAAGGTGTTATTTCATCTCAAAAAAGTGATATCGAATTTATAGACATGTGACAATACATTTAATTTCAGGTTGATGGGAAAGTAGCTCTGTATCATAACAGATCTGATAAGTAATTTCACGTGAAAATATGAGTTACTCAGGCTAGAACATTGATTGGGGAAATTTGTGACGAGAACCTTTATCCTATTGCTTGTATTGAAAAGTTGATTACCATATTGTCTATGAAATAAGATTTCAATTTGCTTTTAACATTGAATTCAACATGCTTTCCTTTTAACGTGACATCAAAAAGAGATATCAAATTCAGTCTCAGGTTCTAGTCGCTTTGCAATTCCCAACCCCTTTTCTTTAACATCCATGTATTTAGAGAAGACGATGCAGCGATACGTTGATCTTTTGTAAACTCGATAGAAACAAGGAATAGAATTCCCATTATAGAAGCACTTCAAACGGTCCTATATTATTAAGCTTAAACTAAAGAAAAGTATCTTACTGAAAATTACATGGATGTTCCCATCATTGGCAATTCTAACTAAGAAAGATTTTAGATGTCTGATACTCCTCATTCCTCAACATATTCATGCGGAACAAAACATATTCCACAGGGTAATGACCAAAGGTAAGCAGTAAATCTATATCTAGGTGTGGATCGAAAAAAAATATAATTGATTGGTTCCTTGTTTTCGACCAATCGGTGACCTCTCAAATCTATACAACAGTACTGTAGAATGTTATGCTTCCGCTTATCCACGCAATCTTCAATTTTGCAGTACCAGAAGTTATTTAAACATACCTCTGATCCATCAGACAAAAAGCCCATCCAGAGTTCCCAGTATAGCAACAGAAAACGGCATTGATGTTTTTTAAATTACGTCCTCTATATTTCTTTACATTTCAAAATAAGAGCGACAAAAGTATGTTTTTGAGAATTTTAAAGATGTTTTCAAATAGCTTGGGTAATTGATTGAGTTTGAAACGCGAATGTCTTCATGGGTAGTAACTATGGTAGCTCAAAACACAGTTAAATGACGCACAGGATTATGAAGGGTTTGTATTAAAGATACTGTAAATAGTAATGTCTTTGAAAAAGGCAGAACACAAGCTACAAACTCACCTTGCAAAAGTAAGAATAATACAACGATAATGGACTGCATTATATTTTGTTGAATTTGTGGTGATGCAATTTGAAAAGTTTTAAAACTGTTCAATGAAGTCAACTTTTAATTGTTAAACCACGCTCAACTGAAAACCGTCTTTGCCTCACTTTGTTTCTTTAATTCACTCAATTTCTCTATCAGCAGTTTTAAAATTCATAGTTGATGCACAAAAGGGACAGTGCGTTACGATTTCTGTTTTCCTCCCACCATTTGCTCTGAATATTTTCATGCAATTCTTTTTTTTTAATATTTAGTACTTGCTGATGTAAAAGCTCTGCAGGTGGCTATTTTGTTCTTCCTTTGTCAATCATGCATTCAATTCTCAGATTTTTCAGCTTATTTTACAGGTTGTTTCGCAAATGATGTATTCAAATGTTAATCAAGCCCTAATGCCAATAGCACTGTGGGCCACAGCATTGTACTGTACAAAAAAACATTGTGCAGCATTGATGACATTTTTATGAAGTTTACACGTCCCACCAAATATAGCTTCATGATTTTAGCTATAAACATGATCTTCACACTTTGTATAAAGCTCTTTGATAGAGGTGGTTATATAATCAAAATTTATAGCAATTTCTTAATCCCACATGAATCGCACTGAAGAAGCTGAAGGATCTTTTTTTATGTTTTTATCTCTAAATTAACAAATAAAACTGATGACCACACTGCAAAATTAACAATAAGAATCTGTAATATATTTTGGTCTTGTTATAGGTTTCTGTGTTTCAAGCAGTATAGCAATTTTATTTTCAATCCAATTCTTTTTGCAGATATCTGCGATGCAAACACTAAGCTCATTAAAAGTTCATTTGGTGCCCTGACCTCACCCAACTATCCCGAAGCCTATCCTGCCAATGAATACTGCAAGGTGACAGTCTCTGCAATGGACAAGAGTGGTTTTATTATAGCCATGAAAGGTTTTAACGTAGGCTCTAAAGGGTGAGTTTTGAGTATCTTTAAGTACCTGACATCAACACTAATTATATTAGTTTGAGTTTGACCATCAGCACTCAATCATGTCCGGATGTTAACGTTTCTTTTCTTAGACAACCACCCTATAACCGAAGGCAAAGTTTATTTAAAAATAATAATTGAATAATATCTAATCAGAGTTTATTGATTCACCCAAATTTATATATGTTGACTATTCATTATAGTCTCTGTTGACTTGCTTCTTCACGTTTTACTTGTACCTGTTTTTGCAAGAATTTTCCCAATACTGTAGATTTTTATGTAATCCTGGCATTTTTATTTCGAATACCAGGGTACAATATATTGTTCTATAGCATTTCTATTCCATTTGCTTAAAATGGGGGTATTTCTGGGCTCGACATAGCGTGGGTCTCACGTTCCTTGGCTGAATGAATGCAAAAAACATTAAGTTAATATACCCAGCCCTGCTAAAGCAATCTTTAAAACCTTTAACGATTTAGATTTTATTCTAGCACTTTCCGTGTTGTGATTTTTTTGTTTTAGAGAAAGCAATCAATGTGAAGATGACTTCTTGGAATTCTATCACGACGGGATTTCAGAGAAGCTATGTGGAAGACAGGATACGCAAGAAGCAACGATTAAAAGTGACTCTTTTACACTCGTTTTTCGCTCAGGAAATGCAAAGGTTGGAGGAACGGGTTTTGTAATGACATTTATCACAAAGAAAGTCTTGCGATTGCAATTAGCGCAAGTTAAAAAGAAGAAACAAGGTACCTTATAAGTAATTATGAATCATTTCTCACTTGGGCAATGTTCTTTTCACAGATCTTTCATGAAATATACTAGATTGCGTGCGGTACAATATGATACTATAATAACGATTGATGTAAATAAATTGTACGTAAGTAAAAAAAATTTTCTCTTTATCTTAGGCTTTAAGCAAATGAAAAAGGCAGGTATTCCCTGCCTAAATAAGCTCTAATAATCTTAGCTTCAACTTGGCAGCAAGTTGCTTCTAAATCATTTTTTCTTGAAATGTTGGAATGTTTAGTTCTGTTTTTGGCAGTTTAAAGGCCATAATGCTATGGTGTAAGCCCCTTTTGAAATAATTGCATCAAGACTAGAAATTAGATGTATGATACTTTATTCATAAACTTAGGCGTTGTTTCTCTTACAGAACTTGCATACAAGCAGAAACACACCCCGTTGAAAACTATTGTCCTCCCTGTTGTCACAGACAAAGCAGCAGCTAGTCTTAATCCGGCAAAAGGACATGGACAAGTCTTGGTCGAAGCCTGTAAGTTTTACAATCGATATAAGAAGAAAATCCAGGAATATCCCACTTAGATTGATAATGAAAATACTAAATACATCTAAATGATTTATTCGTCAGTCTTAACATATTTGCATGTTGATAACTAGATTTGCATGTATACATGTATAGGACAGAGGATTGTATACACGTACAACTCAGATTTGTGTTAGTCTAACTAATCGCTCCGATAAGTTGAGTACTTTAGACAGCCATATGAAAATTATGATAACATATAGAAAACAGAACATAAATCATATAAAATATAAAAAATATGCACATATATTTACATGTACCAGTTTCTGAGACCTATTTTTATAAAAGAGTTGATTCTTTGCAATTTACCACAAATGTTTTGTTCAAAGTGACAAATCTAAAGAAAAGCAATATAAGTCAACAAAGGCAGAGCAGTTCTGGAGATGCCCATGTACTTAAGCATATCAACAATCAGGCAATGTTGACAAGTGTCCTCAATATTCTTGGTGGAGGTGGGTATCCTTTTGAAGAATAATAATTTATCAGTGTTCAAACTTTGATGAGATAATTCGAAAAAACAACGGTCCTTAATGTCGTTTCTGTCAAGTATGAAATTTTCCAGTGGTTTGATTTGTCAAAAATGTTCGATTTCATTTAGCAAAACTGTCGAATTCAAATCTTGTTTCTTGAAAATTAGCATCAGAAGCAATTAATTTTTCCAGTATCTATTGTCATAGGTACATATGTTGTTAAGTTTATTTTCAAAACATTACCAGAGCATAATTGGCCTATCATGGAATTTCTATATAACAGCAAACTAATTCAACTTGTAGTGAAGATAAAAACGTGAGGCTTAAGTGTATCTAAGCATAACAAGAATTCAATAACAAATAGCATATTATAGACCTAATCAATGCAAAATATTGGGCCTACGGAATTGAGAAGTATGAGAGGTTGCACAAATCAAGAAGCTTATAGACAAGGAACAGATGTCTGAGTCAGACTTAAGATTCACATGGGACTTTTAAGATTCAGCATGTATAAAGTACTAAGAATGTATTTTCTGGTCGCTCGGAATGAAGAACATAAATTTTTATCTCAATTTTTAACGTAGATAATCAATGGTATGCCAAGAACCAACCATAGAATTAGTAAATAGGTGACATCTCAAGCTAAATTTCAGATGAGGTTGATCAGTCTGTAAATGAAATTAATTATGCTAATTTTTTAGATATTTTTGCTCAGGTATCGAAACAAAAGAGTCCAAAAAGCAGCAGATAACTCACGTGATCAGTGAAGCTCAAAGGTATGGTGCGGGACGCCAAATGGCACTTGAAGACTACACAAAAGCCGGTAAGTATTATCATATTCTGTTGAATTTTGATATTGTCAGTGCCTAATCACAGGAAATATAACTATTGTTCAAAATTTCTTACTAGAAACATTGCCAAAGGATTAGGTATATGCAGTTAATTAGATTAGGTATATGCAGTAAATTCCATTATTTCTTTATGTTTTGATGTTCCTAGGACTTCCTTGTCCTTTACCTGATTTCTGTTAAATATTTCTCTTGCTGCAAGGCCCGAACAGCGTGAGCTCAAACCAGTGCGTGTCTGTCAACTGTCGTGAGAGGCAGCAGTGTTATGTAGTGTTATGTACTACACCAAAGGAGCAATGCTACAAGATAATCTGCAAATAATAAATGTCCATTCTGCATACCCAATCCGCTATTTTGGAGAACTTTGTATTTATTTTCCAAATTGTTTGATTTTGGATTTTTGAAAAAAAATTAAAACAGTCAATTTGCTACAAAATCATTATAATGTTTCATCTCTACTGCAAGAGGAGAACTATTTCTGTATAAACAGCAAAATCTTATAAGTACGCTGCAAAATTTTTAAGATATGGTTCCAATCAGGAGACTGTCAGAGCAATTTTGTACCTTAATAATGATATCTTGTATGGACACACACTCAAATATTCCAGCGACTGATGTTCAAAATAGATTTTAAATGTAAATACACTCTAAATCAAGTGACATGATGAATTTTTCTTTTGATAGTTTCTTTAGAGTCTTTTAGAATCTTGCAGCTTGCATACCCTTTTAGAAAATGAAGTAACTTTTGTTTGAAAAGACTCAACTGAATAATATGCAGATTGATCCAATTTTCAAAATGTTTATTTTCTGTGGCTCTTTTGTTTACTTGGGCTCTTCTTGGAGCCTTTCAACCGTTGCATGAGCTTTGTAATACAAAGAGTGCCGGGCCAAATGAAAAATGCTTCAGTATGTATTCACATTTTTTTCAATTTAGAAGTTTTATTACTCTAGCTTTCTAGATAGGCATTTATCTAGTTTATTTACATCTTTATATGCCTCTTTTCTGAGTTACTTCAAGTATTTATTTTTTTGCTTTATATACAAATAGGCATATACAAAAAAGCTGGGGTTCCAAATGCAAGAGTAAACAGTCAAAGTTTGAATTTCTATAAAGGTTTGAAATTCATTATTCTTTTTGCAACTGCAAGATATAGAATCCGTAACATCGGCCCCCTCAGAACTACACCAAAGTGTGTTTAGCTCTGGTTAATTTGGCATCGATAAATGTGCGACTCGTGGATAAAACAGTTATTTTCATGAGATAAGAATATTCTATAGTGCTCAGTATTACTTTTATTAGATGCACGTCTTCAAAATACGGCACATACGCACTTGATGGGTTCTCTCCCTGAAATTTTCACTGCTGTTCTGCCTAGGATGCCTGTTCCGAAAATAGACTCAATAGCTTACAGAAAATACGGAACAGGCTGCGAACAGCGTGGCTGGTAGCAGACACAATGCTCTTCTTACCTTCAATTGCAGAGTCTTGACTTGACGTTGGTTAAGGACATTCTGAATTCTATAAATCACTACTCGACCTGGTCCTCGATTCCCTTACTGATCTAGCTTTCAAATACTTTCTGACGTTACTAAAAGAACTTTAAGACCAACAAACAAAAGTTCAACATTTCTTTGCAACAACAAGGGAGGGGGGTTGGGGGTCAGAAATCCTTTTTTGTTTCGTGGCGGTAAACTATGGAATGAGCTAAATAGGGAAACCAAACTGTCAGCCCCCCTTAAAAACTTTCAAGAGCATCCTTTGACTTCTATGATCTTTATTATTTTTTGCGGATTTTCATTTTATTTTCGAACGTTTTTTGTTATTGAATGCTTTTATCAAATAATTCAGCTTGCAAAATAGTGTTATATTTTTCTGGAAGCTCGTGCAACTTGATAAATAGTATAAAATGAATGAAATAAACATATTCATTTTACTCTTTTGAATGAACAAACAATAGATAAAAAAATATATCTCAACAATATAAGTCAAGATTGAGCCTGTGAAGTATTTTAAACAATAGATTGTTATTTTTAGGAAAACAATTAATAGGACCTAAGCCTCCCAACAGAATTTTTGAAAGGAACAAACAACCCACTCAATTACTATTAAAAAAGACAGTGAATCCAATACTTACTAGAAGAGTGTGGAACAGACAATTGTGGAGTGAATATTGGAAGCTTCTTGCTGAGCGTTATGCGAAAGAGAGGAGCTACATTTACAGACAGTTTATGGGTAACATACATATTTATATCATTACTTTATGAAAAGCTGCCCATGGCGCAGCTTAATGTATTGCATGCCAATTCAGTTTGCTAATATGACCATCAAGCTTCCACAGTTTCCTTCACTAAATCATGATATAGCTATGGTTAGTTAAAACTTTATTGAAACCTTTTCTATAAACTTTGTTTCTGATACACCCTCTTTAAAACAGTTTGCTGCCATCATATTTTAAAATTCAACGGATAATTACTCAGTTCAGTTTATGGCGTTTAATAACATGTGATAAGCTAATGTTGCTTTACTTTTTTAACCACTGTTTCATTCTCCTAACTTGCCTTTAAAAAATATTTGTATCTGCAATTTTAGAATAAGATGTTACGTTTAAGGCTTTTGTTTCCAGATGATTGTTGAACTGGCTGCATAAAAGATTAAACTTTTGCCACCAGAAGTCAGTTCTATAAATTATTGACTTGGTCTTTTGCAGATATAAGAAAAATTACAAGAATGAGAGTAAATTTATAAAACACAATACACAAGAAAAAAGTTACAGCATTAATAAAACTTTAAGTCTTTGAATATTAGCACATTTAAGCTTGGATGCATCATTTATCATTAAATGTTAATTTAACTTGAAACCTTTTTAATTGCAATTTCAGTGTTTTCATAACCCTTAAAAACCTGATAATTAAAAATATATTTATTATAAACAATCACCAGTAAAAAAAATATAGCCTTTAAAACACTGCAACTATAATTAAACTACTTGAAGCCCTGTGCTTGAAATTTCAGGATGCCCACGCCAGGACACCATAACATGTGATACAGCATTGAGGTTCACAAGATGTGAAGCTGACCGTACTTGCAAATACAACCAAGCAACTCAATGCTGCACATCTTCCTGTCCATATGCACCATTTGTCTGCATTTGACCATGACATCATAACTACAGGACCTTTTCTGGTCATTTGATCATGTGTCTTGCTCCATAGTGACATTCAGATAAGGCTTGGCTAATTTGGCTGCAGAAAAGGCTTGGTTTCAGAACACAATTAAATCTCAACAAAATTAACAAATTATACATCATATACATCAAAGAGTTTTCAAAATTTTAGGGACTTTCCCCTACATGAACTCACAATGCATACAGTAGGCATTTTTATTTGTGCAATAACTATATTGTGAATCATATATTTTGACCAATTTCCTTCTTCCGGGAATTAATAAATACAAAAATTACTTTCATAAGCAAGTTGTAGCAGAAATTGTAACCAAATTTTATGGTGGTAGAGAAATTAAATTTTGGAAGATGCAAATTCCAAAGGGCAATTATTGGCAGATTTTAATTTTGCCCCTCACACCAATAACAACAATCTAAAAGTTCAAAAAATAAAAAATACCTAGTTTTGAGACAGTATAATTTCACAAAACTTAAATTAACAACTTGTTATTGCTATTCATAAATACACAGTTTTCTATAAATATTACATCAGAACTTTAACCTTGGCCACTTTTCTGTTTTCTATGATCTTAGTTTTTGGGCAATACATCTCACACCAACTTCTAGGCAGCATTGGCAGGCCTGCTTCACTTTTTGCATGAATTACACCAAGTTCATTTTCAGCAGTGGTCAATAAGTATGACTGGGCATCTCCTAAAGAGAGTACTTTAGCTAAAACAATATCCCCAGGCCTAAAAGATTTGCACATTTCAACTTTGTCTATCTCAGTAGCTCTGACATCTTCTCTTCTGATCATTCCTCTGAACACATCTTTTAAAACAACTCCATTCACACTGAGAATTGCTGCTTTGCAGAATCTTGGTGTTGTGTTTACAATTTTGCAAATTGCAGGAGAACCTAGAAATAGAAAATAAATTATTTCTGTAAACTTCTGTTGATAAAAGTGTATCCTAATTGCAGATTCAAAGAAATTTCTACACACATTTATTGCGAGTTTTAGAGTGAATTAGTTTTTGGCCCCATGTGCAATTGACTTTGACAATCCTGATCTAAAGGAGGAGTTTAGATGATAAGTGAATTGAATAGCACAGTAATTAAAAAGTAAACAAGTAAACAAAAGGGAAAAACAAAAATATTGCATCATGAGTGCAGACCTCCCCAAATAATTTTTTGTGCCTGCAAGCACAAACTGTTTTGCAAAGGTGTCTGCAATATTTTTTAAATGTAATGCGTAGGAAAAAAATTTTTTAAAATAAGAGACAGAAAAAAATTTAATGACGAATTATACACAAATGGAAAAAATAGGTCCTGTAGGCAAACTGATTCCTGTCTAGCATTCTATTTGGGAATGCCAGTAGTTTGTTTCCTCTGGGAAAAATGACAACGATATAACATTCAGTTTCATTTCTTTTTCATGAGTCACTTTTATTTTCAAAGACCAGTAAATTTTTGAAAAGAATGAGGATGGTTTTATCAACAAAACTAGCATTATAGAGTCAACAAACTCTAGCTAATGACAAAAAGGGAAATCTGGCCATTACTTTTTCATTCATTCCAAAACATTTGAAGTGATTGAGTCCTTAATTTTATTCGCACACCAAACGAAATGACAGTCAGTTTTGTTGCTTGATATTGTTTGATACTATAATTAATGATACTTTTAGCTGTTTTAATGTTTGTACCATTTACAAGCAATCACAATTTCTATATCTTGCATGCTCCACCGAGATTGGTAGTTTGTTCTGAATATTTGTACACAGAAGCCTTCACTCAATGACTGATTCATTTGATCGCTTGTTGAGGCAATACAGACAGAATTAATGATCACAACAAGATATTTGAACATGAACAGTTTTTTTGCGGTACAGAATTTGAAAATGGCTTTGAAAAAAGCAAACATTTTACGAGATGCTAAAAGCTTTTTCGTCTGACACTCCTCAGAGCATAAAACGTCAGAATAGGTTCCAAAAAAACACGATGGAAAAATATATACCCAGTTGTGATCGAAATAGGCCAATCAGAAAATCGCCTAAATAGCCTACACCCAGCCCTCCAGTTTACGTTTGAAAAGGAAGAAAATGATTCCTTGCCATTTTTAGATGTTTTGGTCGAAAAGTCTAACACTGGATTTCTTACCAGTGTATATCGCAAGCCTACTTTTACCGGTCAGTACATACGCTGGAATTCATTTTGCCCAAAACAACGCAAAGTCAACCTTGTCAAAACATTAGTACATAGGGCACTTATGATCTGCTCGAAATCTAAACTGCACGCTGAACTGGAAAAACTCAAAACGATCTTCTTGGACAACGGCTATCCTGAAGACGTCATTTTATCTTATACTAAGGAGAAGATCGCAAGTTTTTCGGCTGTTCAAAAGTTTGGTCCGCAAAAGTGCCCAGTTTATTTGAAACTACCATGGATTGGTAACACTTCCTTGCGATTCGAGAGTCAGATTAGGCAAGCCATAACCAATTGTTTCTTTGCTGTCAATCCTCGGATTGTTTACAGCACTAGGAGAGCCCTTCCATCCATTCAAAAGGATTGCGTTCCTACCAAACAAAAAAGTTCCGTCATTTATGAATTTATGAGCCAGTGTGATTCTGGCTACGTAGGACGCACAACCCAAAGATTAGGGGATAGGATAAAACAGCATGTTCCTTCCAACATACGAAACAAAACTGCCCCTCAAAGAGAACAGCCTCCTCGATCTTGTAGGTCTAGAAACACTGTTAAAACAAGTGATTCTGCCATTGGTCAACATCTTTTGGACAACCCAGAGTGTGCAAAACTCTATAATGACGACATGTTTCGGATAATTGGCAGAGCCCGGTCGTCCTTCCATCTAGCAGTTTTGGAGTCAATCTACATAAAAACGAAAAAGCCGCCATTGTGTAGACAAAAGGAGTTCGTTTTCTCTCTTGGACTCCATTGGTAATTTTTCTTTAGGCTCGCGGCACTGATTGGTCAACTATACCGGTCTTGTGCTTGCGTTTTTCTGATTGGCCTATTTCGATCCACAACTGGGTATATATTTTCCATTGTGTTTTTTCGGAACCTATTCTGACGTTTTATGCTTTAAAAGTCTCAAATTGTTTAAGAATTTAAAGAAAAATTCAGCTACAAGTTTCACCATGTGAATATTACTAGATGTTTTCTTCCTTTGAATAAAATGATTAAATACTAGGAAAAAGAAAGATCTAGGCATCAAACCAGGGATTGAAGCCCAGAGGCACGTATCATGGTATTAGTAAAACAATCAACCTTGAGGATAATGAAATGTGACTGGGTGAAGATAGGTTGAATGAATCGAGTTATCACACAATTTGTATAGTGGGTACAAGAAGGAAACTTTGAAGATCATAAAGCCTTTAGTTATTAAAATCATGTTGACGTCTACAAAAGCAAGCCTACTGCTTTGTGAAAGTGATTTATGTAGCAAAGAGAGAATAATAGATTTTTTTTACAGCAAGAACAAGATGTTCAATATGAAAATGGCTTTGAAAAAAGCAAACATTTACGACATACTAAAGAGCTTTTCGTCGGTGACTACTGCCTCAG